TCAGGTGGGATCAAGTTTCCGTTCCCCAGGGCAGCGGTTGCAGCGTTGGGTACATTGTACGTCATGTAGATTCATGTACTAGATCGAAGAAACGTGAACAAAATCAGGGTTGCGGGTATGTGTGTTTCGCTATGGAACAGTTACATTACGAAGAAGGTACATATCACGATCAGTGTCAAGTGTTTGAAGCTTCTAAGTCTGGAGATGCTGTTTTACTCGGTAAAAGTCTCAGGAAATTGAAATGTAACGAAAGAGCTTACGCTTTAGAAGAAAGGACTTGTCATGAAGGTGTACACCTTAACCTCAGGCATGGCGTGGACTTGGGATGCGCAAGTTTGAAAGCCTACGAAGGTGAATCCACCCCACTTTTAGTCGCTGCTGGAAATGGAAATCTTGATTGTGTGAAAATTTTGCTGCAATACGAAGCGGATATCGAAGGTCAAGGCCGTTTTTTTCTCTTCAAGAGCGTTTATCCAGACGTGTCTACAACCCCAATGATTGCAGCAGCGGGAAATGGACATGTTCATGTTTTGAGGTGTCTAGTTGAAAATGGAGGCGATGTTAATGGTACTTCAGATGACGGATTCACTGCTTTGATGATAGCAAGTTATTTTGGTTAGCTGGATGCAGTAAACTTTCTTATCAAACATGGAGCTGGCGTTCATTATAAAGACAACCTTGGCTACAGTGCTCTTCATCATGCAGTTGCTCATGATCTGGGATCATCTGAATTGCTGAGCTGTTTAATCAAAAATGGGGCGAATGTCAATGCACAAGCAAATGACAACCGCACTCCATTGATGATTGCTAGTGAAAATAACCACTTAAATGCAGTCATCTTTCTTACCGATCACGGGGCTAATATTGATCTTCAAGATAGGGAAGGTTACTCAAGCCTTCACTACGCAGCTGGTAACATTTCAGATTTATGTGATGTTTTGGACTTTTTAATCACAAATGGTGCTGATGTTAATGCATTCACCAATGACAAATTCACTCCTTTGATAATTGCAAGTAATTGCAACAATTTGGACGTAGTAAACAGCCTTATCAAACATGGCGCAAACATTCATCTTGTAGACAGATATGGTCGAACAGCTTTGCATTATTCCATCACAGTGGTAGACCATGACTCAGTTACTGTTTTGAGGAGTTTGATTAAAAATGGAGCTGATGTCAATGCTCTGACAAATGACAAATGCAGTCCTCTTATGATGTCAAGTTTAAGTGGTTCTGTGAATGTGGTAACTATCCTTGTTGAGAATGGGGCCAATATGGATATACAGAATCAAAATGGAGATACAGCACTTCATTATGCTGTATGTGCTACAAGAAACTCATCTGAAGTTGTTCACAAACTTTTAACTCTTGGAGCGTCGCATTTAAGAAACCAAAAAGGGCTGACTCCCCTTCTTTTCGCCAGCTACATCCTTAAGCATTCTTTGGTAGAGGAATTAATCCAAAGACCAGAGATAACAAAAGAGCAGAGAATTGATGCCCTGGAGCTTCTTGGTGCCTCTCTCACCATTTGGCAACGTGCTAGTGAAGGATCTGTCAATGAGTACATAAAGCGTGGAATGGAGGAACGCTTTGCAGATTCCTCTAATCCTTTGTTAAAACAACCAATGGAACCTGTTGAGGCTTATCAGAATAGAAAGGAGTGCCAGACTTTTGAACAGCTTGCTCAGATAGAGGGTGACAGAAATGCTATGGTCATAGACAGCCTTCTAATTTTAGAGAGATTCTTTGGAGCAAATGAAATAGAACTGCTTCCTCAAATAAGATGGAGTGCTACGGAGAAGTGGTATATCGATTCTTACATACGCATAGGATTGTATCAACATGCCATAAGAGTGGCACATTGCTACAATCAATCAGCAATTTCAGATTTATATGAAGCAATGTGTTTGCTTTACGCTAACATGGAGGATTGTGACCTTCAAAGAGGAAAGTTTTTACTTGAATTGCTTGATCAAACTGTTCTTGAGTACAAGTACCAACGAAAGCTGGGAGAACAATTTGGCGTTAAGCTAGGTAAGGACGAGTGTAAAATACTTTTTGGCTCTACAGTGAAACTTGTGCATATGATCTCCACACACAAATACTGGAAGGAGAGCAAGACTTCATGTGTATCAGAACTGCTTAGAAAACTTCGTTACCAAAATCCCAGAGATCAGTGTGGAAACACATTGTTACACCGCATTCCATGTCTTGATGCAGCAAAGCTTCTTTTGAGTGCTGGTTTTAATGTAAATGCCATGAACAATGATGGAGATACTCCACTCCACAAGGTTGTGAAACTCCTGCCTCTAAGCGGTGAAAAGATCCAGTTTTTGACTGACATGTTGCACGTTTTGTTCGACGGAGGTGCTCATTATGATTTTGTCAACAATGATGGTAAAACACCCATGGACGTGGCTAAAACTGATGAAGCTCGCATGATTCTTTCAGAGAGAAGAAACCTGGAGTTAAAGTGTATCAGTGCCAGAGTTGTCAAAAAGTTTAGAATTCCTTATTTGGGGGTGGTACCTAAAACACTGGAGAAATATATAAGCATGCACTAGTAATGAGATAAGCTGTACAGACAGACAGAACTTTTTAAATGTATTTTTTACAAAATGCTGAGCCTTTTTTAAATGATATTCAAGTCACTTAAGGAAAAGTAAAATAAGCAACAAAAAGGTGTAACTTTTTTTAGGCATAACTGCAAAACAAGGTAATTTTACCATTTGTGAATCAAACCCGTCTTGCAACAAATCAGGTCGTCACAGGTTGCAAAATGTTGTTTCAGAAAGAAGAGAATAGTTTTACTGTTAAAAAAAAAATCTGTCAGTACATGTTGAGCATTTTATACCTGGCCCCAAGCCAAACTTGTTTTGCAGCAATGAGGTAACTCCCATGTAAAGCATGTCTCCTGTATAAATTTCCAATCAGAAGTCAGTATTCATGCATTTTTCAACAACCTGATTTGTTGCTAGACAGACTTGAATGAGAGTGAATGGTGAAATGTGCAACATCGCTTTTTAACTCATTTCACATGAGCAATGTTGCTAGACAAGTTGCACGTTTTCGTTGTTCATTTTACTGTATATATCTTTTGTTTTTGCTTCTTCACCCAGTTACAGAGTGCTGCGGTAATACTGTGATACACTGGCATTCTGTTCAGTACTCCCAGGTGCTGTACTCCTGCAGGGGGTTACTCCAGATTTCAAGTGACAGGGATGACCAAATGGGACCAAAAATCAAAACCTAAAAAAATCCCTGGACCAAAAATTAACCCCCCAAAAATCCCATGCCAAATTTCAAGGCCTTAAAAATCTCCAGAAAGGAAAACTATTTTGCTTGGACTTTAATCGCAAAACTACAGCTGTAGGCGACCGGAATATGCGGGCACTACAAAAAATCTTCAGATTATCCTGAATAGCCAAAAAATCCTACTTAAATCAATGCAAGCCAAAAAATACTTGTCATATCTACAACTTTACTGATAATCATAATAGGGCCATTTATACGAGGAAAAATAAGACGCGTCTTACATAAGACGCGTCTTAAATAAGACGTGAACTTTCCGTATAAACGGCACATTTCGTCTAAAATAAGACGCAGCTTAGCTAAGACGCGTCTTATTAGATAAGACATGCTCGTATAAATGGTACAGTTCGCGTCTTATGTAAGATGCCTCTTATTTTTCCTCGTATAAATGGCCCTATTATGTACAAAATTGCCAATAGAATGATAAACATGTTTCCTTTGATAAATGTGGAATATTGTTGTTAATAATTTAATCAAATTTGTGTTTTTGAAATCTGTTTGCTTTCCATTTGTTACTGTAGGAGAGAACTATTGTTATGTTTGTGTTGTAGGTCATAATTCAAATTCTGGTTAAAATGGTTTCAACTTTGGTAGTTTTGATTTTCAATTTCCTCTGTCTACTAGCTCTAATTATTACAAATTGAGAATCAATTGACTATATTGACTTAGAACACTTTTAAAGCTTTTGGTGAACGAACAACAGATAGATAACATACAGGTTATTAATTTATAATGTATAATAACTCAAAGAGTAATACTAGAAACAACTTTTTTCCAAAACTCAGAGCACAAAAAGGTTTAAAAAAAATATTTTGTTTTTAATCACTCAAACTTCATCAGCGATGTACAATGAGATTCAGTCATGTAACTAAAGCTGTTGTTACGTATTCTCTTGAAAGGGAAGATTGTAAATAGGCAAAAGAAGAATTATGTTTTAAATGTGAAGTACACATAATATGAACTACAAACCATTACATCATCTCCCACTTTTCTTTTACAATACCCTTCTCTGCATATTTTGCTGAAAAATAAGATGGTTTTAAACCATCTTTGCAATAGCACCCCATACACTTTAGTCTCCTTCACAGTCCCTCAGGACGGAGTCACGCCCCAAGCTTGTGTGACTCCAGAAGGAGACAACATATGCTCCTGTATATTTTGCTGAAAAATAAGATGGTTTTAAACCATCTTTGCCGATGCACCCCATACACTTTAGTCTCCTTCACAGCCCCTCAGGATGGAGTCACGCCCCAAGCTTGTGTGACTCCAGAAGGAGACAACATATGCTTCAAAGAAAAAATAACGAGAGAAAGACTCTGACTGTACTACTCACATTGTAAATTCAGGAGAGATACTAAATGGCACCTCGTCTAGCTCACTGCTTACCTAACCCCTTCTACCCCAGCTACTAATAATTTCAATTTCTCCTGTACCTCGATGTACCATATATTATCACAAAAAAACTTTCATTATTTCTATTCGATCTGGGGTTCTAAGGAACGGTCCATTATAAGAAAAGTTATGAGGAGGGTGGGGAATTTCCAAGCCGCCTGATTTATTTTTTCAAAAAAAATTTCCCTTGTATGAATTTTTTAGGCCTTTGCATGAATATTTTTAAGAGTTATTTGGCGTGCATGAGTTTTTTCCATTTAATTTTCCCTTGCGCGAATATTTGTTTTGTACTTCACCCCCCCCCCCCCC